TCTAGACTTCTCAGAAAGTTATAGCGCGTCAAAGTGAAAATCGAAATCGGCCATTATTTTTGCACCAACCTAATACTTAGTGGCACATATAGTACAGGGACATAAACATTCATTATATGCATTCGCTACACTTCTTCTGCTTCAAACACACCCATTTGTATTTTACGAACTACCGGAAAAAATAATTGAAAATCTTTTTCCCGCATTTGCCTTATCTCACTGGAATATATCGGTACAAAATGTTACAAAATTCAAGAAAGCGACATTTTTGTATTTGTTGCTTCTGTTTATTGACTTCTAGCCTTTGAAAAATTGCAGCAACTGTATTTATGTATACCATGTGCCTGCTACTGATCACCTATGAAGGGCTTGCAAATTTTTTGATAAGAATCCGATTTGGGCTGAATGAGTATTTGATTTTGGCTTTCTGAGGTAGAATTTGACTTTGAGCAAAGCCGCATGAAGAGAGCCTCATTACTCGTTGATCTAGTAACGCTTTGAAGCTCTACGGAATCTTCAAGATTCTACCTTACCTGCTGAAGCTAATTGCAAGAAAAAAAAATTGAAGTCTTGAACTCACTAGATCAGGCCTAGTTTGATCATGACAAGCGTCAAAGACTATCACCAAATCAAATTTATTCGTCCATTCCGTATCCATTTTTGTTCCATCCATTTGCAAAAATGTTAGATTATCTATCTTCTCGCCATTAGCCCTCCTGTAAGTGTGGACTTCGGCAAAGGAAAGAATATAGAAAGCAGTTCAAACCTCTGTTCCTTTGCTAAATCGATTGCATCTTCTGTGAAGTCAATCCCGATGAAGTGCGATTTTGGAAATTCTTGTGCTTAATCGGGATCGTTGTTTATTTATTGGAAGAGCTGATTAGTACTAAAGCCAACCTAGTATTGTAGAGTGAAGTCCGTTACCGCAGCCAACATCGAGGACCTCTATGCCTTCTTCAAGTTTGTACTGTAAGAACAAGAGAAAACAAAACTTTGCAATTATGATATTCTGCGCTTTGCTATCTATGTAGAAAAACCACGCGCCGGGAATGATATTGTCTCAAAATGAATGTATCTGGAAGTGTGATTGTGAAGAACTAATTGATGAACCTAATCGCTAGCTGCTCTTCCTCATTTCTCACTCCCTTTCTGCCCTCTTTCCACCGTATAACTGTTGCAGAAGAGATGATTTTGTCTTGATGTTTTAATCTTTTATTTTAGAAGGACTTGTTGTTCGAATTTCAGGCAGGATAACTATAGAAGCTCTGGAAAATTGCTAATTTTTGCTCATAGAATCAATATATTCGCTTTCTCAGATAGAATTGTT